CAAAGTATAGTTAGACCAGTATCTGTCAGAAAAATTTCCAGCATCCTGTCTTGGAGTATGTGACATGGATTTTAACAGGTGACATCTGCTCAGGGCCCATCCTGACATGTTTTTCTTAGCTGATTTTTTTTCTATATCATCTTTTTTTTCTACACAACTTAGGGTTTTTGGGGAAAACAATATATTTTTAAATACATTGCTCTGACTTAAAGGATTTGGTTGTGTTCTTAACTTTTCTTGTCAAGCTCTATTATACCTACAGAAGACAGACAAACTAAAACAAATACTGGTAGATCCTAGAAGAACCCAACCATGTGTAAGACTCCAACAGCAAAGCTCAATTTCAGAGTCACAGAATTTAAATGAGGGCACTGAGTAAAATATTTCCCTGTCTGAAGATATTGTAACGTAAGGCAAGGCAAATAAGGGAAACCATAATGCAAATACAAAGGATCTGTGTGAGGTTAGTGGCTGACCCAGAAAAAGAATAAAAAAAAAAAAAAAAGAAAAAGAAGAAAAAACCCCAAACTGTTATTTGTATGCAAAGAGTAAGAAACGGACTCATTTCAGTTATAAAATAGAAAACCTCAGGATACATATGAGAAAAATAACTTGATAAATCAGATTAGTGTAGATTCTTGAAAACTGAGTAAAAATATCTGGGAAAAGTTGAGTGACTTGATTTGGAATAAAGAACATAATCTAAAGGTTATTGCCTTTTTTTGTCTGCTAAGGCACCTGGAAGGCTCCTTGCCTGTCAAAAGCAGGTTACTGTTAATTTACCTCACTGCAGCCTAGGGCATTAAAAGCACAATTAAGGAAACTGATCTATTGGAAAGAAAAGAATTTGAAAACTATGGAAACTGGTCTACTAGATTATTGAAATGTTAAGCTGAGGATGAATGGTATTGCTAACTGGAATTGGAAAGCCATTTTACATAATACAATTTCCCATGTTTTAATTGATTGAAAAGGTGCTCACTACAGTACTAGCTCTTTTATATATTCTGTAAGTGACTAAAAAAATCCACCACTAAAATTTTCAAGACAAAAAGAAGCTATAAAACAGTGACATATTACAATAGAACTTAAATTAAGTAATTTTTATTATTTTTAGTGACTGCCACAGCCATTCAGAGCTAGCAATAGCACTGAATCTGGAGGAAAGGATTATGTCCTCCTTATCAGCACCGTACAAGTATGTTGGAGCATATGGCCTCTTCTTTCATTTTCATCTTCTAATGCATTCATGTTATAACCCAGGTCAATTTTTAATTGTCAGGCTACTTGAAAATGCACCAAGTAGCAGTGATCTGGCCGGCGACCTTCATTATAACTGCCGTGTTCATCTCGAAAGTTTCCTGTCACTTTCTGTTGTGCTAGATAGGACGCAGCAAGAGAACCAAACACATGCTTCCTGTCAAACCAAACCTAAGGCAGGAAGGAGATGAAAGCACAAGTGTTAGGTTTCTGGGATCAAATCAGCCTTTCAGCCTAAAGGCTTTCAGCCTGGTGACTCTTAGTGATACAGGATACTTGGTTACCACAATTATTATCAGTAAACTAAGCAGATTGTTGTTATTATTATTAGGGCCACTCAAAATGCTTATGTGTAAATGGGGACTGAACTACAGCAGTGCCTCCGATGCACTGAGCTCTTTTGAAAAATTCTGCTATGGAAAATTAAAAGACAAGTTAGGGGATTTTGAATAGCATATGTGTTACTTCAGCAACAGTTTCACCGGCTACTCATTCCTTCCCAGCACTGGTGAGCTGGACTGAGAAACTGAACGAGCTTTAAAACACGGGGGGGGGGGGAGGGGGGAAGGTTATTCAGTAGGCAGAATGCAAACCAGTTTCCTTCCTAGCTGCTCAAAGGATGATAAGGTCACAGTGCGAGGGCTGGTGTAAGCTGGGTGCATGCAGCAAGGCCTGGAAAAAGCAGATACTCTGAGTGCCCTGGGCAGCACCGTAGCTGAACCCACCATCACAGCTTCAACTTTAACTGCTCTATCCTCTGTCCAGCTTCCAAGTTCAATCCCGGTGCAGGTCTGTGTGTTGCCTTCTTCCCTGAGAGGGAACCTGAACGTGATCAGAGTAAACCAGCAGTTTTCTTCTAGTAGAGCACCACTGTCTTCAGAATTAATGGTTGAAGGGTTGGTGTTATTTTTTAACTTTTAGCTATTTCAAACAAGAGCCCAGCATCTGCAGCACAGCACCAGGATTAGCTTGTTGCTGCAGTATCAGTGAAGCATTTTTCTTTCATGTTCACTCAAGGTAGTACTAGACTTTTACTCCAGTCCTCTAAACATCTAATAGAAAACTGAGACAAGTTATGAAAAACTAACTGCTGATGTCAGTAAGGGATATAATCTAGATTTTATCTGAGTTTTGTTGGTGCCACAAAGTTGCTCAATTCTAGGATGATGATTATTTTGGTTGTTTCTTGGCAGATTCAGTGAAATAATAATGTAAGTTAGATTGCTTTCTCTACCCATTAGAGCTGGCTATAGTGTCTTTTCTGTATGCATAGTTGCAATACCTTTAATTAATCTATTAATTTCCTTTGGCACATTTGGTACTTGTTCAACAGATTAAGAGTTCTTTTAATTAAATTGCCTTTCTAGACAATTTAAAATCTACTAGATCAGGGTGTCTCTTCTACAAGTCAGTTTTAGGGAGGTGAGTTTTTTTGTGATACACTTTCCCCAGAAGAAAAAGAAATTCCTCCTTATCTTATGGAGAATGTATGCTAAACAGCAATGGTGTCCTATTTTCCCTTCTGTACAAAACAGAACATACAGTGAGCGTACACAGGATCTCTCTTGACCTGTCCAAACAGTAACATTTGGAGCACCTAGTCAAGTAGCATCTTCACTATCTACAGTAGCAGTAGATACAGACAGGCATTCATTGTATTATACAAATGAGTAAGCAGAAAGCAGGCTGGAATAGGTAGATAAAGGGGTTGTTGCTTCAGCTGCCTAGCAGATTTCAAGCAATTGAGTCGGCAGTCCATCCAGTGCAGAGAACTTCATTATAATTTTTTCAGTCTATTTGAACTAGCAGTTCTGGTCTCACAGAAGCTATTCATGTTGCTTGTCTTTAGGTGGAAATTCTTAGAAAAAAACAGCTTCCTTTCTGCTAAAAATATAACATGATTTCCTGGAATTTCCTACTACTGTATGCAGTGAAGTTAGACCTTGTTGTAGCTTGTGCAAAGCTGGTAGAGCACAACTGCCTATAAGAGCATTCTTGTAGAAAAGCCAAACGGTGGGGAAGACAGGTTATATCACTCCACTGCCTCAGCTCACAGACTTTAATTACCCATTTATGCATCATATGAGAGTCTCTGAAGACTCCCTAAACAGCTTTCAGGTGGTTTTGAAGGTGGTGTTGGCAAGAACAGGCCCTATTTGAGATTAAATTGCTTGCCTCCCTAGCTGTTTGCATAATCATGTTAGTTATGTTAATGCCTAAGTATTGGGGCACACCTTAGGAGAAACTTCATACCAAAGCACCTTTATAAGAAACACATGCTGCCACCACAGCAACAGTTTGAGAAACAAAAAATTTAGTCTGTTTTGCCATTTGCTAGTGCCTGTAAAGAATTCCACTGTCATCTCAGGAGTAAGATGAGACACCTGGCAGTAACTATGCATGACAAACCCAAATTGATACGGAAAGAAATAATATCATCCCTCACAGTGTCCTGTTCTCTCATCACCATGCTTATGTGCCACATTGCAGCAGCTAAACTAAGCAGGGACCTAACCCAGAACAAAACTCATCCAGATTTCCTCCTTTCCCTTCCACCAAAAAGAAGCAAATAAATAAAAATCAGCTGCATCAGCTAAACCTAAACAAGCACAGACACATGAATGAATGAACATACAGAGGAAAGGTAGGACTTGCCTCAGCTGCAGCTTCAGTTGTGTATGGCAACCTACAGTAAAAACATTTTAGGTCTTCATCATTAGGATTTTTTGGTGGTCTTTTTTTTTAGAAAGACTTTAATTGTAGGAAAAGGAGGTATCATTTAGAAAAAAACTTTATTTTTGCACACTCAATGTAAAAAGAATCTGGAAGGCAAGTTGAGCTTGACAGAAAGCAGAAACTAGCAGTTCCATCAGTGACATTTAGACACTATTGCAGTTCTTTTAAGTTTTTGAGAAACTTGGGTCGTTTTGGATCCAAAAGCAAGACTCCTGATACAGTAAGAAGTGTAAAATTACAAGTCTAACTCATCAGGCACAAAACTGGTTTCCCTGAGAAGATGTAATTACAAACTAGTGTATAAACTTTATATCACATTACCAGGGGGTTTTAAGAGTACAAAAGCAAGATTTGGCTACACAAATTTAAACACAAGTCCTTAATACTCCATGCTGAAGATGAAATTTTCAGGAGGATTAAGAATTACATATTACAGAACTACAGCAATCAGATTTAAGTTAAACGATGACAGCTGGCTTTGGTATATTCTTGTTTGTATAGTTTTCAGATCAATTCTAATGTTATTTTCCTGAGATAATTCAGTACTCAGTATGAAGTCTGTGCAGTCCAGCTGCTTTTTTCCTTTTTTTTTTTTCCCCCCTCCTCTTCATCTTTCCCTTTCAGCTAGCATTACATTCATGGGAAAAAACTGAGGAATAACCATGAACAACATGCATTTTCCAAGCCTTAAAACAAATAATTTAGCCAAGGAAGCCCATTAATTACACCTTTTAGATAATAAATATTCCAAATAGTTGGCCTTCCAAAAATTTCTGTCTTTGATTTTGTACCCAAAGTTCCAAGCCTCAGTGTGCAACACAAGGCATCCCCATTTTCACTTGAGACATGTCTTCTTTCCCCCTCGTCCATGGACAATGCAAGGAGGGTGTCATCACCACCACACCAACATGGTGAGAAACATTATACCCATCATCAGCATCAACACCATCGGTGTGTTAAGGTTGTATTTATGCTAAAGTACATAGCTGTATACAATTTGGACCTATGTTTCATAACACGAGCATGCTGTATCTTAGTTCTTTTGCAGATACAAAGCTTTGTGTCGCAAATACTCTTCCAAACATTTTACCGCAAAAGGGTCAACATCAGTGTCAAACTTATTGGCAAAGAAGTGGTGGTTTCGTAGCATCCAGTTTAGGTCTCCTACCCCAAAAACACAGACAGAGCGAACGTGAACTCCACTGCATGGTGGGTAGGGTGCACCTTTGGACATGTCACCTTCAAAGTACTGCCACTTGACAAACCTGGCCAGTGCATTCATGTCAGAAACATCGTACTTGACACTGGAAGAAACTGCACCTGGGACTTCAGGGATTCTCTGAATTGTTGCCCACAGGTACTCATCTGGGCTGTAAGTGTCTTTTGCCCACTCAATGAACTTAAGTATTTTGCTGCTTTCTAATATGTATTCTACAAATCTTCTGCTAACTACAAAATAAGCACTACCAGAAAAAATTGGAGTACTGAGAGGTGGTAGTTGTTTGTCTGTGCCTGTGTTCTTTATTTTACCATCAATAATCTCATGATGTTTTTTCCACCTTACTTCTTTATAAACAGGCATTTTTTCTGTTTCCAAGCTGTTTTCACCTTTAAGGGCTTTTAATTTCTCTACTATTTCCTGGTTGGTCTTTAAAGGAAAGTCCATGCCACAGAGGTTTATTAGGTATTTCCAGTTTGAACTTCTTCTGTAGAGATCTTTCATGCAGTTAATGTCTGCCTGCACCCTGCTCCATGAAGCATATACAACACTCTCTAACTGGCTGGAAATAAAGACATTATCAAAACATGAGACTATTCCCTTCACAGCAGCAAAAAAAGATTCTGGAGACTTTTTGTCAACATGAATGCAGTAAAAATTCTGAGGGGCATAGATTGATCTTAGAAGTCTATCAAGCATCTCAATTTTGTGATAAACCACTATCGAGTAAGCAATTGGAAATTCTGCTTCTTCATTGCTGAGAGGTTCCATAATGTATTTCCTAGTCTTGGTGAAGGAGGCACAGTCCGCTGTCATGTTAATATAATCATTTGTTGTTAGTCTGGGGCGTTTCTTAAATGACACCGACAACGTCTCAAGCTTTACCCTTTGAATTTCTTCTATATCCCCCTCTATAATCTTGGTGCAGTTAACATTGGCAATAGGATCTTCTTTTGTGAGCTCTAGATGTCTCCGATTTAAGAAGTCTTGTTTCTGGTTAACTTTCAAAACTGAAATGATTACTAAAATAAGAGTTAGACCCAAGAAAAGCCTGAAGCGTGAGTTGTGGCAAAACCGTAACTTCCTCTTCAGCATTTCAAATACCAGGTAGCTTTGCAGGGCTAAAAAAATTGCCCTCCACTCTGTTCATATTAGCTTCAACAACTTCAGAAAAACATTTTGTGTTTCTCAGGAATTTGGTGAGTTTGTCAAGGAGGTGGAAGGAAAAATCCTAAAATAAAATGAAATATGACTGTCATTCAAAGACTAAAAGGTTTCTTTAAAAAATTACTGGTTAATAATTACAGTGTTATTTAGTGACAGTAAAAAGATGAATGGTTCAGCCAAAAATACTCTGTTGAAAATTAGAAGTTAATGAATAAAATTAGTTTATTTTTCTAGAAAATGATTGGGAGAGGCAGATAGTTTTCATGAGACGCTATTTTCATAGTACTACAACCAAAGTTCAGTAAGAAAACAGAGCTGATTCAGCTGCACCTGACAAAATCAAAGCCAGTAAGTCAGATAGGTTACTGAGAAGCAAGTATTTGATGTTAAGTTATGCTTCAGAGTTTGACAAGAATGTTTTATACTCACTTCAGCAGTGACATAGATTTCATTATAATTATAACTTACCACTCACTTCCTGGATGCTACTCATGCTTTATCTTCTTACTGTGAAAGCTGTCCCTGAAGCCTTTCAAGAATTTTATGTGAGATACAGCCTCTTCAACGTCCTGCAGATGAGCTTAGAAATACCATCAGGAAAGAGCTGATGAGAAGGGGAGAAAGAAATTAGTATAGCATAGCTCCTCAACTTTCAGAGTTGTGAGAACAGCTGTGACTGAATTGCTGAAGTACCTTTTTAAGGTAAAAGGCATTACTTATGGCCTATCTCTAAAGCTGATTTGTGTTAAGTCACTGCAAATGCACAAATCTGAGAGCACAGCAGTGTTGTGTTACCATTGTTTAAACACACTTGTTTTTATGATTCAGCAATTGCTTTTATGTGGAAATATGCTACAAGGCTGAGTTGCAACAAGATTTATAATATGCCAATCTTATTTTCGTCTTTCACAGGCGCTGTATCATTTTTGTTTGTTAGTCCTGTTTCCTCTTTAGCACCTTTTTTCTGTTTCAGTACCCTGTGAAGGGATCACTGCACAGTTATGTAGCTGCTATAGCTGTAGCTGTTGAGAAAACTGCAGTCTAGAACTGGATTTTTATTTTGTAAGTACTACCTCATGCAGGTAAACGGATCAAGAACAGGATATCCTTGAACAACTTACATTGCCACTCAAATGCCATTTGTACTCACAAATTCATTGCCTAATAATTCAGTGAAGGTTTAAATTTCAAACCAACCTCTAATTGTAAAAGCCAATACAGTTTATAGAGAATGTCTTCCAAAATTTTAATCTATAAGTTAAAAGGTTAGTGAAATATTGAAGTATTTGAGAGATATATAGCTCCTTTAATTTTTACTACTTTCAAGAAAAATTTAGTGCCTCTGAATAACTTTCTGAACAGCTCTAAGAATAACTGCTACCCAAAAAAACTGGTAAAAAAATTTGTTTAAGAAAAAGAAGTGTACGCTGTGTCCACTTGTGGGTTTTGCTGCAGGCTGTTCAGAGTAAGATTTTTCTTTTTTTCCCCTCTTTTCTTTAAGCTGCCTCAGTATCATTTTAGTTTTTAATTCTCAGGCTGTGGCTTTTAACCTGCTACTTGCAAATCTCAGAACAGGTGCATATAAGAAATTGAGGCCTGGCATCCCAGAGTTTTTTGGTAGTAATGCTGCCACTAGGATGCATTCCACATTGGGTCCACCATTATGCCCACAGCATTGCAAACTGACTGGGGTAATTGATCCATGTTTAGTAGGTGGAGGGTAGGTGCGGATCACTGCACAAATATCTAGCACAGCTATAAGGATTAGCAGTATTTTAAGGAAGTACTACCAAATATTTTGTAATTCAAGCCACCAGCAGGCAGAGACCACAAACTATTTGCAACTAACAGCATTATATAAACATGTTATTTACTATAAAGTGTACTTTGTTTTCAGAGTTACACCTGTAATTATTTTATCCTGCATTTCTAATTTATCTTAGGGAGGTGAACATTTGTTCCAAGTCTGTTTTAGGTGTATAGTGAAGTCAAACTGGAAGAAGTAAAATTTTAACCCTTAAGGTAAGTAGCCAGGTGAACTAGTGTGCAATGACAGCCCAAAGCATAGAGAGGTACTTTTTAAGTATCAGGTCTCACACTTTCAATTTGAATTTAAAAAAAATTAAAAAGGGAAATTCCCCAATTACCACTTTCAGTTTGCAATGTGGCATCAACCACAATGACATAATTTAGAGCAAGTTTTAACATGCTTTATAACTTATCACACACTTGCTTACTTGATGTCCTGCTAGTTTTGACTAGCAGATCTGGTCCAATAAAAATAATATCCATCACATATGAAATTAACAAAGGAAGGATACTAGCTATGTGATAGTCTCCATAATCTCTATCGAGTGTATATTTCCATAGGATGAAGCTTGTGATACTGGTTACCCTTAAATTACTGTTTTCCGCCTACCAACTTAGAAATGAAGACTTCTCTAGAACTTAAAATGTACTTCAAATACACTTATAATTGTGAAGCTTTGGCTGACAGAAGCTGGAATCTTTCTTTTTTTAGGATAAGAGTTAGCACTACTATTTTATCCTATTCTCATTTTTTATAGGAGAACTACCATTGTGGAGTAACACACACTTCAAGAGGATTGCCACCCCCTCCCTGTTCTTTACAACGCAGGAAGACAGAGCCTTAATCGAAAGCTACCATTGTGGTCTTCACCTTCTACAATTTCCAAAGAATAAAGCTTGCTAAGAAGCCTTCCCTTCTTAGGGAAGGGAAACTTAGTTGAAAGCAGGATAAAGAGTCTCTTTCAGAAAGGACTTGTATACCTAGCTGGGTGCAATTCCTCTATTGTTTTGAGTTCAGAATAATCAGAACCTGTATTTCCATTACACCAAAATGAGAGATCTGCAAACATTTACACATTAACATGGCTCTTATCTTTAGATGGAGGTTTTTCCCCAGTCGTATTTCTCTCACTGACATGCTGCTTCCTCTGAACAGTCGTAACAATAAGTTAATATTTGTTTATGCTTGCAATTCTTTTTCTAAAAAGTCCTGAAACTTGATCATATCCCATTCTTTGCAAAAGCTGACCTTTACAGGTTAAGGAAAGATTTGGTACTTTTCATCTAATAATATGCCTGGGTTTTGTAAAACAAAGTTTTATGAGCCTAGAATACTCATTAACATAGCTTCAGACTGCATTCAGTAAAGCTTTTAAAATCTTTTTCTCAAGCTCTGCGTAGTTTTAGTGTGCACACTAGAGGATGCAGTGTCAGAGGCAGCACATTGCATGGTGGGAGAGCAGGAGGGAGGTTTGCACAGCCACAGATAAAAGACTTTATGCTACAGCCTTGGTCTTGCTCTCAACTGAAGTTCAGTTGCAGAAGTTATGTACTTGACCTGCTTCCTTCTTTTACTGCCTCCTCCGCAAGTCAGAGCCTGTATTTCTGATGCAGTAGTCATTAAAAGAAGACACTTATAGCAGTTGCTGGTATTTGGAGGAGTTAGTACAAAGATTGTGTTAGCTGCCCACTTCCCTCTTTCCTGCCAAAATTATTCTTCACTGGTGTATATAAATTGTGCAGTATGACTAAACACAAAACCAAGATAATTTCATCCTGATTTCTACTAGACACTGGTGTTCTCCATGTAAACAGACCTTATGGAAAGAAGGATTACTATACCTAGTTTAAATCTCCATTTCTGGTACCTCTTCTGTGTCAGAGGGCAAATCACTTGGATCATCTGTCTCTTAGTTTATTCATCTGTGAAACAAGTACTCATTACCCGGCAGTTTGGGAGATGTCTTGGTAAAAGTCAGGTTCTGATTTAACTTTTATATTACTGTAAAGGTGTTACTGTAAAACAGCTGATTTCATTAACAATGTCTTTAGCTGGTTACTGTAGAAAGCTGTGTTAACCCTACATGCTAAATTATTCATCTGACCCATGGTACTGACTGAAACGAGTCAGCAATAGACTACATGGGTACTTATGCCAAAGGAGCTGAAGGGGAAAACCTTCATCAAAGAAAGGCTGCGGCCACAGGCAGGACGGAGCAGCACCCCCCGAGCCCAGCTCAGCACGTGATTTTAGCTAAGTTTGGCTTCACCCATCCTTAAAAACAAACAGAAAATCCCACAAGAAACCTAAGTCTTCAGAGAAAAAAAACAAACAAAACACTTTTACAAGATTATACCACAGCTTGGAGGAGGACCAAAGTTCACATGGAGGTTTTATACAGACAGGCTGGACTGGAGCTGCAGCACGTAATGGCAGTCCTATTAACAACACACCACAGGGCTGGTCCTAAGAAAGAGGATGTTTGCGAGGGTGCAGAGCTGGCAGAGCGCTGCTACACCAGCCCTGATGAAGGGCATGTACCTCAGCCCTGCAACACGGAAACCAACCTTTGGCCGCCAGCGCAGCAGACCTCTTCAGCTGCAGTTTCACGGTGCAACTCGTCCAATATCACGACGTGCTGCTGGTGGAAGGAGCAGCCCCACTCCCATCTCTGCTGGCCACACGTCGGGCTGGGAGGGGTACGACAGCAGACCCAACCAGCCAGCCTCTGGGCAGCCCTCTGCAGTCAGCTCTCACGGCTGCTGGCAGGGCCCCAAGGGCACTAATAGGCCTTGACAGCTCCAGCTAGCCCACTCCAGGCTCCCCCATGGCCCCACTCCAGCCCCTGCCCCAGTGATGCCATAGCAGGGCCGGTCTCCTGCCCACTGGCCCTGACAAGCTGGGCCCAAGTCCCAGCCCAGCCTCGGCCTGTGCCCATCCCCAGCAGGTGCCTGATGCCAGGGCTGCTCCTGTGCCCCTCCGGCTGCCCTGCTCCTGGGGCGGTGGGACGGGCCTGGCTGCCAGCCCCTGCCCTGACAGACCTGCCATGGGGAGCCACCAGCCCTGCGGAGCCCTGGAAATCTCTGCTCACCACGCTGCAGTCCAGCAAACCTGGGCTCTGGGTTTTAGGCTCTTGTTTGGACCGATATGGCTGAGAGTGAGAGATGTGTCTTTTCCTAAACGAGGTTAAAAGAAATGGCAGCCTCTCATCAGTGTTACACTAGGGTGGCACTGCTCTCTGGGGCTATTCATTTTGCCTGAGTTACAGCGTCAGGACTGGGAAAACAGGATTCCTGGTTCTCAGGCATAGAATCATAGAATCATTAAAGGTTGGAAGAGACCTCCAAGATCATCGAGTCCAACCATCAACCCAACACCACCATGCCCACTAAACCATGTCCCTAAGCACCTCATCTACCTGTCTTTTAAATACTTCCAGGGATGGTGACTCAACCACTTCCCTGGGCAGCCTGTTCCAATGTTTAACTACTCTGGCATCACAGGGCCTCCCTCGTGCCAGTTTGCGTAAAAGGCATCGCCCTCCTCTGTCCTGTCTGAAGTAGTTTAGAGAGCAGAGTGAAACCATAAACTAAGTAGATATTTTTTGTATTTAAACAATTACCATACCTTTTTACACTAAGCATTTTTTTTCCTTGGAAAAAGCAGTTAGGGCGTGCTGTGAAATGGTACACAGACCCATCTCATGAGAAGATGAAAATCATTAGGGGCTGGT